AGAAATTAATAATGTTGATCCTTTAGGTCCTTGGTGCAACAGTGATACACAAACATAATATTTTTTTTAAAAAAATACAGATATCAGGCTGGATTCAAATTCCAGACTAAGGTAGCTGAACTTCAGTCCCATTGGAACTTTGGAACTCACTGTCTGTTGACATCAGGCAGAGATGGCAGACGCCATCACTGTACCACTTTTCGGTGTCTGCTAAGAATGTTTCTGTTTAGACAAGCCAAACCAAGGCATGCAGAATGTTGACGTATGTGTTTTCAATCTGTTTTTAGTTTAGTGCTGATTTTTTCCCCTATTTCCTTTTTTAAAAAAAAAATAATAATGCTTCAAATACTTGTTTTTTCTTAACTGTCTTTACTGATCATTTCATTGCTTTCTTCTCTTTGTAATACTTCTTATAGGGTTTCGGGTTTTTGTTGTTTCTGTTTGACAGAAGCAAGCGGTGTGAAAACGTTACGAAACATAATAAATAAATAAATAAATGGTGACCAATTGGTTTCAATAGGACCGAAATATCAACTAACTTAGTCGGGGTGGGGGGTTACGGCATGCACGGTTATCATTTGCGGCGTCTGCCCTCCGGTGGAGATTCAGAACCGGAATCGCTCTTCATTGCAACATGCTTGCTACGCCGGCCTTTTGCTTTAAAACATTGACAAGAAATATGAGCAGCTTGCTGGCTGTTTGCCAAACGGTTGTTTCCAGCCATTCCCAAAAAATGAGTTCCTGGAGTCTCTTCGCCCTCCTGCTTCTCCAGTCATATTTCGCAGGAATGTCAAGTAGTTGCTCACTGGGTTTCTGAAACCCCACTGTGAGAGACAAACAGTGCAATCCTAAGCCGTGTCTACTCGGAAGTAAGCTCTGTGGATTCCAGCAGGGCTTAACTCCCGGGTAAGTGGGGTTAGAACGGCAGCCAGAATCTACAAAACATAGAAGCGCAGAAGCATATAGAGAATACATAGGAAGCGTTCCAACATCCAGCGGACCAACACGTGAAAAAATACATCATCTCATCAAACCGGTTACAAAGAAGTATTTCCACAAGGAGTCTGTACAGTCAATGGTAAGAGGGAAAGCGTCACACATTTCCTTCTGTTCTGATCAACTTCTGCAGGGTTCTGGTGGGGTTAGTGCTTGTCCAACGTCTCCTTTTTATGCATTTGCAAGAATAAAAATAGAAATCGTTTTTCTCAGGCACAGCAAGGAAATATTCCATTTCTTTCCCAACACATTACAGTGGTGCCTCGCAAGACAAAATTAATCCGTTCCGCGAGTCTCTTCGTCTTGCGGTTTTTTCATCTTGCGAAGCACGGCTATTAGCGGCTTAGCGGCTATTAGCGGCTTAGCGGCTATTAACAGCTTAGCGGCTTTAAGAAAAAGGAAACAAACTCGCAAGAACTCGCAAGACGTTTCGTCTTGCGAAGCAAGCCCATAGGGAAATTCGTCTTGCGGAACGACTCAAAAAACGGAAAACTCTTTCGTCTATCGAGTTTTTTGTCTTGCGAGGCATTCGTCTTGCGGGGCACCACTGTACATGCGTTCATGGTGCCTTGATGGGCAGTTTTGGTAAAGCAAAGCAGCAAGGAGAGGGGACAGCTCTGAGCAGAGAAGCAAGAGGGGAGAGCTTCACCCTTTCCCTACCTTCTGCTTTCCTCCTCAGTCTCCCCCTGAGCTGATTTCCCCTCACCACAGAGTTCTACATGTATTTCACATTGCAAAAGAAATGTGAAGCACCCTGGGGAATTAACAGGTGAGGTGTTTGGGGGGGGGGGCAATAGGTGGTGGGGGAAGGATCAAGCACAGTGGAGATTGGATAGGTAAAGGGACCCCTGACCATTAGGTCCAGTCGTGACCGACTCTGGGGTTGCGGCGCTCATCTCGCTTTATTGGCCGAGGGAGCCGGCGTACAGCTTCCGGGTCATGTGGCCAGCATGACTAAGCCGTTTCTGGCGAACCAGAGCAGCACACGGAAACGCCGTTTACCTTCCCACCGGAGTGGTACCTATTTATCTACTTGCACTTTGACGTGCTTTTGAACTGCTAGGTTGCAGGAGCAGGGACCGAACAACGGGAGCTCACCCCGTCGTGGGGATTCGAACCGCCGACCTTCTGATCGGCAAGTGCTAGGCTCTGTGGTTTAACCCACAGCGCGCCACCTGTGTCCGGAGATTGGATAGAAGGCAGTAAATGTATGAGGCTGCTGAGTAGGGACGTCTTACCCATAGAGACTAGTGGTGCAGGGCGCCAAGTTCTGGAGGGCGCCAGGGAAGAGGCGGAGGCTGGATGCAGTGCCTCCCAGCATCAGCTCGCCGTCCTCACCTGCCTCCGCCATGCCGTGCCGAAGCAGCGCCACGCCCAGAGCCTCTGCCTGCCATGGCCACCGTGGCACGAAGTGGCCAGCTGAGCCGGGAGCCACCACGGCCAGCCTCTGCCTCTTCCCCGCCGGAGGAGCTGCCCTCCAGCCGCTGCCTGCCTCCTCCAGCCCCGCAAAGCTGGGAGCGTTGCCGGCAGCGCCGTCCTCCCTAAAAAAGGTGGGCAATTCTGGGAAACGGGAAGCCACACCGGAGGGGATCTTTGCACCACGGTGCCAGATCTGCTTCAGATGGCCTTGCTGCTGAGCAGGAATGCATGGGCATCTGCTGGGGGCAGCCAGGGTTGGCTCAGAGGAGGCTGGTGCGATAGGGTTACTAGGAAAGACGAATTTCAAGCAAAAACATGCAAAATTCATTCCCGAAACCACACCCATTTGTTCCCGAAAGCTACACCCATACCTATCCCTCTCCTCAATTCTCACATCCTCCCCAACTCTCACATTACCCAGGGCCTGCCATCTCACACTAGCAGGTAAAGGTGAGTTCCTGGAGGACGTCATCAGCACCAGCCTACATCTGCACAGGTGGAGCACACCTGTGCAAGCCATCACCTGGTGAGGGTGGTGGGCTCTCCTCGCTCTTCCTGCTCAGCAGCTGTTTATCGCTTTCTGACAGCTCTCCCTCATTCTGGCCTCCACAAAGTGCAACCCCACCTCCTCACGTCTCTGCTCAAAGCTTCCTCCTTCCAAACCTGCTTTTCTCCAGGCAAAAAAACCCAACAAAACTCCACATGAGATTTTGCATGTAGCAAAAGTCGAGGGAATAAAGAGGGTCATATGAAACTCTTTTGTTTTCTAGTTCTAAACAATGATCTTGAGGTTCTTTGGAGCCTCTGCAAATGCTGAATCGATATATATCTGCAGAGCGTTTGTGGCTCTTTGTCGGTCAGATTGTTCCCTGAGCATTTCAGGGGGAAAGCAAACTCCTCCCCTCACTGTTCCTTTTGCAGAATGGGTCCTTTTTCTAGCAGGAAGCCGTTGAGATATTTGCATGGGGGGGGGAGAACCTCTAGGGTGGTATTCAACCTCAGCAATTACCCAGAGTAAATCCAGTTGAAATGAATGAACATGACTAAATTAGGTCCATTAATTTCAATAGATCTACTCGGCGTAAAAGCTGGTTGATCAACCACCCATTATGTCTCTGACTACCAAATACTAGGAATAAATTACTGGGCAAGTCCACCACCAGCCATCTACTTGGGGGGGAAATGAGAGCAGCATTATGGATCAGATCCAATATTCTTTTCCCACAGTGGCCAACTAGATGCCTTTGGGAAGTCCACAAACAGGCCACAGGTGCAATGACACTCTCCCAGCAACTGTTAGTTAGAGGCATGCTGCTCTGCCACTGGCAATACAGCCATCATAGCCTTAATCCGGCTTTCCAAGCCATCCAACAGTTCCTTGGCTGTGATCCACCAAGACAGCGATCGCCACGAGTTCCTAAGAGTCGACAACGCAGCACTTTGGATTCCCTGTTTTCACGCCCACAATGAACCTGAAACATTTGTTCTTTCCACATTAAGACACTTGAATTGGTTTAATTGACTAAATGCTTCATCTCGGGTTTCCATCAGGAAACCTGCCTGGAATCCACATTGCAATATGAAAGGATAATTAGATTTAAGCAGCCCTCGGCTGTATGCTTGTCCTTAGGTACTCGCTAGGCATAAGTACAGCAGCTGCTGCAGTTTATTGTACAGGGAGTACATGGAGCGGTTGTGGGGAGGGGAGTGAGCTCATCTCTTCATTTTTCATCCCTTTAGTCGTCACTGATCGAACGGATGCTTTGCATCTCAATGATGTCCCTTGATTTCATTCTAGCCATGCCCGTCCGTGGCTTCTGCTGCTGCTGCATTGCGAAAAAACCTCCCTGGGTACATTAATCAAAGTGATTAATATTTATCATCGCAGCCTCTCAGGTTGCTCACTAGAGAGATTTTGCAGATGAAGTGAGGGTGCACTTTATATATATATTAAAAACAAACAAACGCAAAAGAGATTGCATTCTCCAACACCAAGCAGGTCTTTACCCTGTATCCATGCACCCATCCACTGAAGGCTGCATGAAGAGATCCTTCTGGATCTCCCTTGCTCGAGGCAGAAATGAACGGTGCAAGGTGCACCATCGTGTTCTCATGAACATTTTGGGGAAATTGTTCCCTCTCAACGCCATTCTGGCCTGTAGCTCCAATGAAGCTTGATTTTTAGAGCACATAGGAAATCCCCAGGCAACGCTTTCTCAATTGATTCCCTGCCTGATGATCTGTTGAAGTCACTCAAGCTGTACATAGTGATGAAATGTTCCTTGCCCATGTTTCGGCATTGCCTCCTTCATTTCAAAGCAAATTGTCTCTCTCTCTGTGTGCGTGCAAGCGAAGTCTACACACAGGACCTGTAGCCTTACAGAATCCAAGAGGCATAACCAAATGCAGCCTTTAGAGAGAAAGAAGAGTGTCAATCTGAGGTCACTTTTCTATATCATGGTGAAATTGATGCTCTCATACGTTCTTCCTCCTGGCTGCCTGTGGGCCAAAACACTTGTACTTCAAAGAGCTGTTATCTGAGTCAACTCCGACGTGGGGGTCGTCGGGCTTTGCTGGCTGACAGGTACCATGGGGATTTCCACGCCTAGTCATGCGGGGTTGTTAGTTCCATCTGAGTTCTTGCAGGCATAAGCCACATCCTTGGCAATACTGCACATGCGGTTGGACATCTGCAACTCCTTCCTGAAGGCAGACGGGAAGCAGAACTTCTTGAAGCAGGTCTTAAAGTTCTCGTCCAAGAAAGCGTAGAGCACTGGGTTCAGGCAGCTGTTGGTGTAGCCCAGGGCGGTGCAAAAGTACAAGATGGCCAGCTTGAACTCGTTGTCAGCCTTGGCCCCAAGGCACCGGACCAGGACGAAGATGTGGACGGGGGTCCAGCAGATGATGAAAACGGCCACCACCACCAGGACCAGACGAGCGATGCGGCGGAGGTTCCTGTCCTTCTCCTTTGATCCGGAGAGAACGCGGACGTTCTTCAGGCGCCTGATCATGAGGCTGTAGCAAATGGTGATCACCATGACGGGGATCATAAAGGAGAAGAGGAATATGCAGATCCCAAATATTGGATCCCAATAATTCACAGGTTCGGGGAGTCTGATCAGGCAGTCGATCTCTGCAGAGGCAAAAAAGGAAAGAAAGGGTTTGGCCATGAAAAGAAGATTTGTTATAGGGAGAGAGATTCAAAACTCACTGTGACAATAGGGGCATTTATAATCTTGGGGTGGAAGAGTATTACAATCTGCAATGTTACCATCCGAGTGTAAAGAACTGAATCTACTAGGAGTTCTTTGGGGTCTCAGCTTTCAGTGTGAGGATGTCTGTCCAGATAAAGGGAAGTTGCGTGGCTATTCCCTCCCCCACCACTAACGGTAAATGAAGACACAGGACACCAGAATTTTAGGTTAATGGGCGAAAATGGCCACAACTTTATTGATTACAGGCAAGAGTGGTATTGGCTTTAGGCATTGGCCCTACCAGACTAACCGGTCTAACCGGTGAGGGTTAAGCACCAACAGGGGGAGCCACCCGAGATGCATATCCCTAGGCGCTCCCCGAGGGGTTACCGCTCGGGGGCGCGCTTTAGGCCCTAGCCTCCGTAGGTTTCGGACGAGGCGACGCCCCTCGGAGTCCTTTAACGAACTACCCTCCAAGCCTTGGGGGAGGTGATGGCGCTCCTCCCCCCCGATCTCATCTGCATGAGAATACCCCTGCCAATGCCTACCGCCAACCCAAGAGTTGTGACGTTTTGCTACGAGGTAGGCGAAAAAACCAAGTGGCTTCAAAATCCAGCCAATTAGCCAAATGGAAAAACTCCTACCAGGCCCCTTGCGGCGACCAGTCAAAACCCATAGCAAAGTCAAGGGCAAACCTAAAGGGCGGGTGGGTGGGAAACCGCGTGGGAACGAAGAGAAAAGGGGCGAGCCGAGGGCTGCCCTGACCTTAAATGGCCCCTAGTAGGCCCGCCCCCGCCGCCAGCCGATTGGCTGGCGGCGCGAGGATATGCTAAGTAAGGGGAATCCCTGGCTCCCGCGAGGCTGGGGCCAGCCCCGCGGGAGTGTGGGCGGGGTCGTGAGCCCGCAACCCCACCCCCTCCTGATATTCGGTAGTGGCATAATATTACCCCTCTCTTCTGCCTTGGTCAGACCAAACATGGAGTCCTGTGGCCATTTTTTGGACACCACAATTTAAGGAGGATATTGACAAGCTAGAATGTGTGCAGAGGAGGGTGACCAAGGTGATCAAGCCTTATGAAGAACGGTCGAAGGACTTGGGTATGTTTGGCCTGGAAAAGAGGAGACTGAGAGGAGATATGATAGCCATCTTCAAATACCTCAATGGCTGTCACATGGAAGATGGAGCAAGCTCGTTTCCTTCTGCTCTGGAGAATTCGCCCAAATCAATAGATTTAGTGAGAAAGGAGATTCTGACTAAACATCAGGAAGAACTTTCTGACAGGAAGAGCTATTCAACAGTGAAACGGACTCCCTCAGAAGGTAATGGACTCTTCTTCCTTGGAGGTTTTTAAGCAGAGGTTGGACGGGCATCTGCCACAGATGCTTTAGCTGATATTCCCAGTACGTTTCCGAGCACAATTCAAAGTGTTGGTGTTGACCTTTAAAGCCCTAAACAGCCTTGGTCCTGTAAACCTGAAGGAGCGTCACTACCCCATCGTTCTGCCCAGACACTGAGGTCCAGCACCGAGGGCCTTCTGGTGGTTCCCTTGCTGCGAGAAGCCAAGTTACAGGGAACTAGGCAGAGGGCCTTCTCGGTAGTGGTGCCCGCCCTGTGGAACGCCCTCCCACCAGATGTCAAAGAGAAAAACAACTACCAGACTTTTAGAAGACATCTGAAGGCAGCCCTGTTTAGGGAAGCTTTGAATGTTTAATAGGTTATTGTATTTTAATATTCTGTTGGAAGCCGCCTAGAGTGGCTGGAAACCCAGCCAGATGGGTGGGGTATAAATAAATAAATTAATTATTATTATTATTATTATTATTATTATTATTATTATTCCTGCATTGCAGGGGGTTGAACTAGATGACCCTTGGCATCCCTTCCAACTCTACAGTTCTATTATTCTGATGCCTGACAGCCAGTGTTGTATAGTAGTTAGAGTGCTGGACCAGTACCTAGGAGACCAGTGTTGCCTTCTACCAAGTTAAGCCATTGGTCCATCTAGCTCAACATTCCTCACACAGACGGGTGACAGTTCTCCAGGGTTTCAGGCAGGAGTCTCTTCCAGTCCTACCTGAAGATGCCAGGGATTGGAACTGGGACCTTCTGGATGCAAAGCAGAACCTCTTCCTTTGAACTATTGTCTTCTCCCCAACCCCAAGGAACTCTCAACAGTCCCATAATATGGCTGACATCCACCAAATCTGGAACATTTGCCATAAAAGACACTGGATAATCACTGTGTTGTAGTGGTTCTTGGCCAGCCACTTTCTCTCACTTTAACTTACTTCGCAGGGTTGTTGAGAGAACAAAAGGGGAGAGGGAAAGAAAGCTACATATTCCATGCAGAGCTCCATGGAGGTGTGCTGGGATATAACAATAGCAATAATAACAATAACAATAATATTACCCCACCCATCCGACTGGGTTGCCTCAGTTACTCTGGGCAGCTTCCAACATAGTACAGTATACAGAAACACAACAACAACAACACAATTGAACACCACACATTAAAATCATCCCGATGCAGGGCTGCCTTCAGATGTCTGTGGAAGGATATGAATGTTATCAATAATTTTTAGGGAGCTAGGTAGACACACAGGCACACCCAGGGATGAAATTTAGCCAATGAGCAGCAAGAGGTCTAATCCACAGGCAAGTGGAACATCTGATGTTTTGAGCTTCATAAGCGCTTGAACAAGTCTTCCCTTCCACCTTAATTCCCCAAATTGTTCTGGGAGCTCAGGCGATATGTCATGGGTGGCATTAAAACACCAGCCAAGCCCATGTAAGCTCAAGATTATTTCACACTTGGCAAGCAGTCAGGAACGGAAACATGGGCCCCTCTAGTCTTACTAGTGAGCCCGGAAGATTCTTTTGGTTTTGTAACTTGTTGTCATGCCCAGAATTGGGGGAGGGGGTGCTGGCTGGCTGGGTTGGAGTTACGTCTCTTTGCTAAATTTGCTGACAGGTGGACTAATAACTTCACGGCGCTCTGCTTCGGGGTTCTTCTGAGGATGCTGTGCTTTGCATAGAGATTTCCACTGCTGCATTTAAAGAGCGATTCCAGCTCCATGCATCTGAAGCAAAGCTGAAATGGATTTTTACCATCTCCAAGCAAAATGCCCCCCAGACAATGCCAAGGTGTGGGGCAGCCGCCCCCAACCTGATGCCCTCCAGAATTTCAGGATTACAGGTCCCAGCAGTCCCAGTCAGCTGCACTGGATGGAGATGATGGGAGTTGTAGTCCAAAACATCTGGAAGGGACCAGGTTGAAGGAGGCTGATATATGGAAATGTACCTGGGATGAATGTACCAGGTGGGGGAGAAATTCAGTTTGCTTTGCATTTGAATGCCAAGCCCCCTATTTTGCAGTTCCCGAAACAAACACATGAGCTGAAACACATTTATCTTTCAAAATTAGCCCTTTTCGAAATAATGGGATTCAGTTCTCCAGCTGAATAACACGAACTGAAATGTGCCTATATTTAGGGAAAATACGAAGAAAAATGCTTTCTAGGGAAACGTGTTTGCAAACAAAAGGTGTATAGCCACAGAAATTCACATGAATTTTCATGATAACTCACCCTAGACGCAAGCTGAAATGGAATTGTTTAAGACTGGGAAAATGATAAACTGAGAGAAAATGAAACTGGCAGATTCATCCATCATCCTAGATGAACAGGTGGTTGTTGCTCATCCCTAGACATCCATAGTCTTTCCTGACCTTTCCCTTCTAGCCTGTTAGACATTGCTTTCAAGCATCACCATTTAAAACAAAACACAAAATTAATTATACGGTGGGGGAATTGATCCAAAATTCAACTGAGGCAAACAAAAACAAACAAGAACCCTAACACTGCATGATAACATTGGAAGACTGGGGAAGTTCTCTGCTAAGACATTTCAGCTTGAAAAATTGGAGGGTGGCAGGGCTTCCCCCAAGTTTGCCTGACGCTGCTTTCATTCCCTGATTTGCAGATCTATAGTTATCATTCTGTTGTGGCCATTGGGTCTACTGTCAGTCTCTGCCTCCGATTCTTTAATCTCTTTCAATGTCTGGCTCATAAGATCAAGCCTCTTTATGACTGTTTGGTGGTCTTCCTGAGGGAGATTCCTAAAGGAGCTGAGAAAATCCTCTTCCAAAGGATTTACAGAGTGCTCAGATTCCTGAAGATGATTGTCTAGAGGAATCGGCTGTTTGGCTCACCTGGTTATTTTGATGTTGGGCATGATCCTGCGAATTCAACTCAGGCATGTCTGTTTCCTCCCCACCTGTCAAGTTTTTTTGCAATGTCATTACTTCCATTGGGGTTCCAGGCTTTGGTTTTGTGGGCCCCTCTGAAGCACCAGTCCTCATCTTACATAAGGGTGCAACAATAGAATTGCAAAATACCCAGGTTGGAAAAACTCCTCTGCTTGACAATCTGAATTTCAGCTTGTGAATCAGTGAGGGCAGTCTAGTAGAGGAAAAAGTTAACATAATTTTTTGGATTTGGTTTGTGGTACTCAAGGGTTCAGTCCCAACTAAGTTCTGCCAGGACTCTTACCAAAGACTGGCAGCTGGCAGCTGAGATTTTTATTTTCCCCAAATGCCCCTTAGATCGAGGCCATGATATTTATGTAAGGCAGCGGGGTGGCCGGAGTTGGCCCTCAAAAAATTGCCCAAACGCCCCACTACCATCACACACACCTTTGAAGATTGCAGAATGGGGGAGGGGGCATTTTGATCCAAATGCACACATACACACACCTTCTGAGTGATATGCATTGCAAAACTGGATGGAGGCATTTTGCCGTGTGTGTGTGTGTGCGCGTGTGCGCGTGTGCGTGTGTGTGTGTGTGTGTCTATAGTGAGTGGTATATATATTGCCGGCAGCTGATTCTACATAGTGAATCACTACAAAAATATATTGCTGCACCTAAGTTTACCAGCCAACCCCATCAGAACCATTTTACAACAAAGTAATATTTATCTACAGATAGATGAATTTGAAGTGTTTGTATAGTCTGAAAAGCAAAGCTGAAAGTCACAGAAGGTTGCGGAAACAATGAAAGAAAGAAATGCCCTTTCTTGTGACTTTCTTATCTTCAAAGCACTCCAGAAAGAACCTATATCCCTACATGTGCATCATCTTCTATTATTTCTGGTAGATGTCTCATTCCTTGGGTAGGAAGTCATTTATTTGGCTCAATCACCAATAAATTAAGGCATATCCGGGTCATGAGAATTAGTCTTTGAACCACGGCTGAAGGCCTTGCTGCCAACAGTTTTTGGCTATTTGGTGCCTTCTGGATGTTCTGGATTTTAATTCCCATCAGCCTAGTCAACATGGCCAATGGTCAAGGATGATGGGTATTGTAGTCCAGATCATCTGGAAATGATGTTCTAGTCTTTTTTTCCAGCCCAATATTAAGTGGTTTGTACCACCTTGCATTTCCTAATGACCCCAACATGAAAACGTACCTTTTTCAAACCTGCTGCACGTTGGATCCACATTTTTAGCAGGTTGGCAAAGGCTGGCAAAAGTTAAAGGTCCATGTGGCAGTTATGCATTTTAGGAAAACATTGGGGAGCATTCAACTGCATTTTACTCAGAGTAGAGCTGTTGAAACTGATGAACCAAAGTTGGATTGAATCCAACTTGTTTGCTACCAGTGCAATCCTAGCCATGTCTACTCATGTGTAAGTCCCCTTGAATCCAATGAGGCTTACTCCTAGGGAAAGTGGTGTTTAGGTTGCAGCCTGAATGAAGAAGCAAGTTTATAGATTTTAATAAAAAGGTAAAGGTAAAGGACCCCTGAGAGTTAAGTCCAGTCGCAGATGACTCTGGGGTTGCGGCACTCATCTCGCTTTACAGGCCGAGGGAGCCAGCAATTGTCCACAGACAGGTTTCCGGGTCATGCGGCCAGCATGACTAAGCAGCTTCTGGCGCAACGGAACACCGAAACCAGAGCAGCGCACGGAAACGCCGTTTACCTTCCCGCCGGAGTGGTACCTATTTATCTACTTGCACTTTTTGGCGTGCTTTCAAACTGCTAGGTTGGCAGGAGCTGGGACCGAGCAGCGGGAGCTCACCCCGTCGTAGGGATTCGAACCGCCGACCTTCCCAAGAGGCTCAGAGGTTTAGACCACAGCGCCACCCGCCACCCCATAGATTTTAATAATTGCCTTTTAAAACAGACAGCCCATCTTGCATTCTTAACATATTTTATATCACTCACCGTCATTTTCATTCTCAGTCGATCCCATCACCATCACAGGAATACCAAAGACAGAGGCCAAAGCCCAAATGCAGACGTTGACGACTTTCGCCTTGTGGGGTGTGCGGATATCCAGGGCCTTGATGGGGTGGCAGATGGCAATATATCGGTCCACGCTCATCATCGTCAGCGTGAAGGTACTGGTGAACATGTTGTAGTAGTCGATGGAGATGGCAATCTTGCAGAGAGCGTTTCCAAACGGCCAGGAACCTAGGAAGGTATCGGTGCCTTGGAAAGGTAAAGTTATCAGGCACAAGGTATCAGCCAGGGCCAGGTTAAAGATGTAGATGTTGGTCGCCGTCTTCATCTTGGTGAACCTAGTGCAAGGAAGACCCAAAAATGAACAGCTGAACGGGTCTGATTTTCAGTGCGACATTTTAAAACTCTACTTTAAAAAAAATAAATCTTGTTTCAAGGAATTCCAAAACCATTGCATTATGTATTGGCCAAGTTCAGTACATAGAATCATGGAAGTGTAGAGTTGGAAGGGACCCCAAGAGTCATCTAGTCCAACCCCCTGCAATGCAGGAATCCTGGCCCTAGGCTTTGAACCACCAACCTTCTGGTTAACAGCCAGATACACTGACCCACTGCACCACCTGGAGAGTAATTTGCTAAGCTCCCGTCGCCTTTTAAAATCCAACAGCCTCCACAATTAGGAATGTTGGAAGCAAAATCTGTTTCAGATTGTTGCAAACAGATTCCAACTAGGATGGGTTGGGAGAGCAGCAGAGACACATTCTCGGTTCATTATCAACCTATTAGACACCCAGAGAGATCTTACTTAGCTCCAGTGGAAATTTCCATGTTCCTTTCACACATGCAGAGCCATTTTCCATTTCAATGTACAATTAAATAATTATACTTAACCATGTCCACGTCCTGATTTTAAAGTATTATACTTTCCTTTTAGGTATTCTCCACAACTGTGCTAATTTGCCATTGTTCGGCGATACCTGAAAAATGTCTTTCAAGCTTCAGTATTTAAAGATTCATATATTTATTTTAAGATGCAGGGATTTCAGGATTACACTGTCCTGTCTACGATCGCAAATGCTCTCGTTCCTCTTCAGCTTCCTGATGGTGGTTTATGCGTGCAGCTACCAGATGAATCTAGTGTGCATGTTGCTAAAATAATACAAGCACACAGCCAGTTATTTACTATTAAGTTAATCTTTATCCTTGTTGGGGGAAACAGCTAAAAATATTTCCAGGTGTGTGTGTGTGTGTGTGTGTGTGTGTGTGTGTGTGAAGGGAAAGGGCTCATTGACTCCAGAATAAGGACTGATCACTGCATCCATATATTTAAGCACAGAGGACTGCATGAGTCATCAGGCAAAAAAACTCACTTGGTAGTTGTGTTGGTCCAGAGAAAAGAGCATGTATATAGTTCAGTGACAGAGGACATGTTTTGCACGTAGAAGGTTCCAAATCCAATCCCCAGCAACTCCAATTAAGAAGATTTCGTGTGGCAGGGTTGAGCCAACTGGGCTGAGTCACCACGGCAGGTCTGCCGCCACCGCATGACGTACGGAGACTGCGGGTAGTGCCCCCCTGCTGCCAGAACCAAATCGTCCACCATTGGGTCCCATTGCTGCTGCTAAAGCAACAGCCAGCAGGGACTGGAGCTGTGGACTCCATGCCTAAACTAGCTGGCTTTGCCATTTTAATTCAGAGGAAAGCCATAGCTCAGTGGCGCAGCATCTCCTTTGCATGCAGCAGGTCCCAGGTTCAATCTCCAGCACCCCCAGGTCAAGTGAGGAACAAGCTCTGCCAGAAACCCTGGAGAGCTTCTGCCAATCAGGGTAGGCAATACTGATGTTAGGGACTGGCTGGATGAGGAAGAGTACTGGGTAACGCGTGCCCAAGAGCCCCCCATGGATGACACAGAAGACGATGGCTTAGACCCTGAGTCGTGGTGGTGGGTGTCAGGGGTCCAGGTTTCCAGCTTCATAACACAGTAAGCGCAGGCAATTAAAAAGGCGGATTTATTGCAAAAACAAACAGATAGCTCCAAATGGCTCCGACAAAGCCTCCAGCATCATTACTCAAGATGACCCTTCTGAAGACTCCTTCTGGTGTCCACCGAAGATATTGAACTTACGACTTTTACATCTCTTGTTTTGCTTCCTATCTAGCAGTCCTCCCATTCACCAACTCTTCGGACTTAGTGGGTCAGCTCCAACCTCTTCCTGTTCTGAGAGGCTGAGTCTATTTGTGCCTTTTTGTGCTTCCTGTGAGCTTCTTCTGTGTTCTAGCCTGCTCTCAGCTCCTGCCTTATCAGCCTGCCCGTCAAGGTTAGGAAGAGCTGAAGTCTGCAGCTGCCGGCTCTCCCTTGCCTGACTAACATCTAAGTTTCTCTGTTCCTAGCTGCTTTCTGCAGTTGACTTCAAACCTTCGCTTGGAACTGGCTCATTCCTGACAGTGGGACACTGGGGAGCAGTCTGGGGAAAGGATGAGCTGGGAGGTGCTAGAAGCTGGGGGGTAGAGCGATCAAGGTGGGTCAGATGAAGGAGGCCCTTCCAGGACAGGTGTAGAGGCAAAGAGTCACAGTGTGAGTGCAGACTCAGAAAGAGAGGAGTCAGAGGTTGCCATTGCTAACCAGCAGAAGAAGAAGAAGAGGAGGAGGAGGAGGAGTTTGGATTTGATATCCTGCTTTATCACTACCCAAAGGAGTCTCAAAGCAGCTAACATTCTCCTTTTTTTCCTCCCCCACAACAAACACTCTGTGAGGTGAGTGAGGCTGAGAGACTTCAAAGAAGTGTGACTAGCCCAAGGTCACCCAGCAGCTGCATGTGGAGGAGCGGGGAAGCGAACCCAGTTCACCAGATTACAAGACTACCGCTCTTAACCACTACACCACACTGGCTCTCAGAGTCCCAGTCCTGCTGGTTTTCCTCGCCCTTTGACACTTTGCTCAAGGAGAGTCCTGCACGTTGCTGAGCAATGGGCCAGACAGGCCCAGAGGAGGAGGGCCCCCCCCTTGAGGCAGCATTTTCTGCTTGGGATGGATCCAGAGTGAGAGCCTAGAAGGGGAAGACAGGCCTAGTGGTCAGTCTCAGCAATGTCTCCAGTTGAATAAGATGAGCCAGATCAACTCTGCTGTCGTTACTTTCTGTGAATAGAAACTAATTGAATTTTGTGCCTTGTTTCCTGCCCTGTGGGTGGCCTGTGCTTGCCTGACAGCTCCTTGACAACTGAGCTAGGTGTACCCCATGTTCCTAATGGACCCCTAGGTTCCTAATTACTCCAGCCCTGTGTACATCAGGTCCAGCATATTTGAAGCAGTTGGGCCAGTAAGGTCAGGCACGCTGCCTGGGGCTGGAATCAGTGGTATTGCCAAACTACCACATCACCGCTGCCAGGTGAGCAGGCACACAGACTGACTGCCCGCAGCAGAAAGTGGCTCAGTGGGGTGGCCCATCGATGGCATGGCTCACTGGGGATCCAGGCCATGCACCTGAACTCCCCACCACTGCTCTCTTAATGATGAGGATGCATAATTATCCTTGATTATCCTGACATTTGCATAGCCTCTGTGTAAGTGTGACACGAAGCCAGAGTAGGTGTGAAAAAGACAGCATTGTGTGGAAGAAAAGGATTGCAGCAGGTGTTGCTTTCATGACAACCTGCACCTGGTGAAATGCCATCTTCTGCATCTTCTTTTGCATGTAAGCCCTGCGACCAGACAGCAAAATAAAAAAATGAGAATCACTGCACCAGCACTGAATCTTGTTGCAGCAAAATCCCAGAGGCCAAGAGCTGAGAAGTCCAACTTTATCCAGCGTCTGTCACCCTATCCATGTAACTGATATACAAATTGCGTTGATTACATGCAACTAAAATATGCCAATTAGCATCAGCTTGCTTGCTTCTGATATTCTTTAGATGCGCCATTCATTGCAGAACATGTTGTCCGTGCTTGATCTAAATAAACAAGCGAGGCTTTTTGCACCAGTCCGTCCAGATATGGGCAAGCTAATCTAGGATTCTCTCGCTTTATCACCAGCCGTCAACATGTATTTGAAAGCTGAATAGGCTGACCTGTAATGCCTCCCAGAGCTAAATGGTTTGACAATGTCTCAACATCGGTTTGGGTGTCATAAGGCAGCTCTCTCTTAATTGCAAAGCAGAATAGAAGGGATTCCCCCCCCCCCCCGGTGGTGAAGGAGATTGTGAAGCTTTAGGACAATTGGTGAGTAGTTTTATTCTTTTTCATTAAATGCATGTACAGCCCTTCATCTGAAGACCACAGGGTGGTTTACAGTACAGAAACAAAAAAACACATAACACCACCACCAACAACAAAAAGTGGTTCATGTAGTAGAAATTATAGTATATGCTTTGATAGCTAGAGATGTGAAGAGATGTAAAAACTGAATAGAAATGAAAAGGATATTCTTAGAAGCAGTGCTTTTTCTGGGGGGGGGGGATACAGGGGTACACATACCCTCAAACATTTTGAGAATCTTTGTACTTTTGTCCATTTACTGTGTTTATTTTTCCCGATTTGAACTATAAAATGGTGGTTTTCTTGAGTCAAAATGAGAGTACCCCGAAACATTTTTATTAAGGAAAAAAAAGCACTGGTTAGAAGAATCTACTTAGGCTGCGTTAAGAATGTGCCAACACATGTTGTGTGTTTGAAAACTGATCTGCTCAATTTTGCACCCCCTTGGCTCTGCACCCTTGTGGGGGGAACTGCTCGTACCACCCTAAATCTGACGTTCCCACCTGAATCCACCGTTGGACGTCTTTTGCAGAAGGAGTTTGCCTCTTCCCTGACTTGTGGACATATGCTTCACTGCCCTGCCGATACTCCTATATATAGCACGGCTTTTGATTACTCTGCACGAAGACATCGACTCAGTGCTAATTACATTTGCATTTGACTTGCTCCAGTTGCCTGTTGCAACTATGTGTTTGTGCATAAGGACTGAGATCCAAAGAAAAATGAAAGGCATGGGAGTGCTTTGATGGGCTTCTGATAATGTATTTGCCTTGCCTTGCACTCAAATTTAATTTAATTTTATCCCTCCTATGTGCAGCGAATTTCTTTCTGGTCATCATTAGAGATCAGATTATTGGAAGAATATTAACTTCATTTGTCTCTGTTTTCTTGCTGCCCACTTCCCTCCTCTGCTGCCTGTTTTCCTTGGAGGTCAGTTAATAAGGAGGCAAGAAAACCATTCTTCCTAAAGAGGAACGAGGCCATGGCCCAGTGTTCTCTGCCGCCTTGGTGGGGCATGAACACAATCATGATTACACTAAATACTTTGTAGACCAGAAACCCCACACCAGGGGCAGCAGGTCCCAG